ACGTACGTACGTAACCGTAACCGTAAACGTTAAAGTAAAGGTAAAGTAAAGTAAAGTAAGTAGTAGTATAGTATATATATATATATAATAAGAAGAGAGAGAGAGAGAGAGAGAGAGAGAAGTTGGCACTTAGGTGATGTTCACTTTAATAGGTTCAGTACATGTCTACGAGAGCCCAAGAAATGCAGCAAAGGTTTCAGCGTCCCAATGGACCTCCTACACGATATTTAAAAGAGTTGACAATCAGTGGGCAGGCAAGCTGAGAGGAACTGGACAACTACTGCAAATTGCTCAATGGAAAAGTTCAACCTTGGTAGAAACCAGGCTTGCCTACCAAAAGGATCTCTTCATATGCAGGAAAGAAAATTAGGAAACAGACGACAATTCCTATGTATCCAATCATATTATGTTTGTGAAGACTTGAGTCACACCCAACTTTGGAAACATCTTTAAGTACAAATCAGAGACTCACTATTCCTTACTTTTCTTGTCCTTCATTTTTAATTTCAGAGGAAAGAATGTGTCCTATCCTAGGCGTAATATCCAAACTCTACTTGTCTATAAGATGAACAAGCCTTGATTTTAACGAGCAGAAAAATATGAAGATTGCCAAAACACTCTACAAGACAAGGATATGATGAATTGATATATGACTATCATTCAGGAATCCAAAAAGCATCCCCCGGAATACCTCTAATTAATGTTACCATGAAACTACCTCTAATTCATTACCAATAGCAAAATAGGAAGCATCAAACAGCGAGCTCTCGGTTGCGGGCATTTCTTTTTCTGGATTCTAGGCCTTTAAATTGGGTTCCAGGAGCAATTCCAATCCTTGGCACTCCTATGTTATTACTCATGGCAATTGTTTTAAATCTCAGGCTTGAGTCAGGACACGCTACAATCACGAGTCCAAGTGAGGGAGGTAGACTTGGCCGAGTCTTAACAAATATAACAGCAACAGGCCAACAGCTTGAGAACAAGTAAGACTCTGCCAGTTCCCAAGGATTTGCACTCGGCAGGGTGCTGGGTCCGAGTGACTCCTGAATTTGGAGGGTTTTAAATACATTGTTCATGACAAAATGCAAAATTTTTCACAAGTTTCAAGACTGTAAGGAGGCAGCTAATACCTCAGTGTCAGTCTATAGTAATCTTAGTACACTAGAAAAATAGCACAGAGATGAAAGGTTAAGCTAAACTATAATTGAAACAGGCATTTCCATATTATCAGCCAAAAAAGAATAGAACCAAAAAAACAAAAAGGAAAGAGAAGACCATATACTATACAAGGTAGAAGCGATAATAATTAAGTAACAATGCAAGGTAGCAGTAAGTACCTGATCATTTTGGAGAATTTGGAGAAGCAAAAGGTTGCTCCTTCTTCTCTCACGCTGCCATCGCCATCCGAGGAATGCTGCTGCTGTTCCCAAACCCAATATGGCAGCAGTGGCAGCAGCAGCCGATGAGGAAGGAAATAACCAGAGATAATGATGCTTCTCCGGCTTCTGATGACATTGAAGCTTTGAGAGCAACAAATCAACAATTCCTCCTCCGCCACCACCGAGGTTCACCAACTCCTTCCACCCTTCTTTCTTCTCACACTCAGCTGCAGAAGCAACCCCTCTCTGCTCCTCTTCTCCTCCTCGTTGTCGCTCTTGGGTGCCACTGGCAGGTAGCTCTTGTATGTCGATTGCGTCGATCGGGAGGCCTTCATGGCTGCTCGGAGGGAATACTGAGTAATAAGGGCAGTCGCCTTCATGCTGCTCCTCTGGAAAAAAGGGAGGAAGGAGAGGGGAAGCATGGAGAGCCTCCTTCCTCTCTTCCTCCTCCACCTCCCCATCCGATGACGATGTTGGCGGTGATTCTTCTGCCATTACTTGTTCCCAATCGTTGAAAGGTCCTCCATCTCCTCCATCGCCGAAGCGGCCGTTGCTGCTTCTATCAGCCATGTCTCACTCCAAGCATTCTGAGAGTAAGAGGGAGGAAAGGGAAGCTGCTTTGTGTATTACAAATTTTTTCTTTGATTTCTATTTCAATGGAAGAAGAGGAAGAGGAGAGATGCGCGCCGTCGCGGTCCGTCCGCTCGGTGCTCACGACTGCAAAATAGGGATTGGAAATGAGTGAATGAAGGAAGGAGAATAAAAATCGTGGTGGAGTGCGTGGCGAGGATGGATATTTTGGGGGATATTTTCAAGGAAAATTGTTTCATGCGAGCTGTACCACTTAAAGATACATCCAAGTAGGTGTTCCATCTAGAAAACAAGGGAAATTTTCGTTAAATATATTTTAATTTTAAAAAAATCGTATAAAAATTTCAACTCCTAAACCTCGTATACATTTTTTTTTTTTTTTCTCAATTTTCAGTATTTTTTAGACAAAAGAAGTCATTCTACCGTGATGCATTGTGACCATGACGGTAATTTAAATACTATTATAAATAAAATTAAAATTACAGTATTTTTAGTACCGTAGAAGTACCGTAATATAACATCTATTACGGTACTTTAACTACCGTAATACTTTAAAATAATATTAGGGTAATTTAAATATCATGAACAACTCAACACGAAAGATTTTTTACTCTCTCGAGTCTACTATTTATTTACTCCCTCGACAAAAATCCACGCTAGTTGTAATTTTTCAAATCTTAAATTTTTAGGATATAATCTCTACTTAATTTTTATATGGTTCTCAAAATTTTAGAACGAAAACACGCTTTAATAGGTGTTTTTGAGAGAGAGTAGATCCACATCGTGCTTCCATGGGAACATGGATTTTTTAAAATAAGTAGCCCTGATATTAGCTTTGTTTGAAACTTTTTAAACCATTACCGTAATACTTTAATGAATTATGTAGGTGTGATGTTTTCAGTATTTAAAGAATTTATGTAGAATATTTGTCACCATATTATAGTTAAAGTATTTAATGAATAAATTTATATAGTATATTTTTTTTTGGTTGTAATAAGTAGGTGGGATGTTTCTTAAAATATTTCTTAGGTAGATTTATATGGTATATTTTTTTGGTATATACTAGTTAATTATGTATTTAATATTAGATGATTGGATGAGAGTCACGAGGCATCTAAATTAATTGACTCAATTATATTCGTCTAATAGAGTTTTTATGGATGAATTAGTTATGGGAAAAGTTTATATAAGGATGCAACCTTATAATGTAGAACTACGGATGCACTTCAAAAATCTATCAGAAAAAGTAGTTTTAATGTTGACAACCCTTTGATTGATCATCTCGACATCGAGATGTATGATTATGAAAAAAAAAGATTTTAGGTCTCATAAATAGTGCATTTTACAACATATTATCTACGCCGTCCATTTTCAAGATTTTCATATGTTTATAGATCTACTTGATTTTAACCATTTTTTAAAATTAAAATTTTATAATTATATATAAAAATAGATTTTGAGATAATCCTAATAACATTTTACATCAAAATTATATACCATGATAAAATATGACGGTGCACCTTACTCCTATACCTACATATGCATCCATATGCAAACTGCAGCTATTAGTTATTGATAGCTTTGATATAGTTTTTACTTTTTAAAATTTTAAAATTTCTAATATTATAAATTTATTTGATTTTTTTACTTCGATTTTTTGAGCCTAATCCGATATATTAGCGATATCTTTATATGAAGTATTTTTGCTTATCTGTATTTTTTACCCAATTTTTTCATCCGACTTTTTAAGATAAAAATAATTTATTTCCAATTTTATGGTGAGCTGATTTATTTATAGTCTCCGACTTGCTAACTATGCTCATGACATACAATCTTGTTGCAAATACGTTGCTTCCTAATAATATTAATATGCAAAGAAAAGATTTTATTAGGGATGTTTTGGCTTTAGAGTGGGGAATCAATAGGGCGGGTCCGATTTCGAATATACAATGAAAACGGGTTGGTTGTCTTACAAAATCATCTGATTTTGTCAGGACTTGGCCAATCTAGCCTTACCTTTCATTTTTTATTTTTTATTTTTTATTTTTATTTACCAATACACTTGGCTAGATCATAATTCCAAACGATTTTCGAGATGGGTGATTCATGTCATTCATCTACCTTTTTAAACATTGGATTTTCAAATCTCATTTGCGTTAGTTTTTAAGTATTGTATTATTTTTTTAGAATCAAATTTTGCAATGAAGGATCGAGATTGATTTGCAAGCCATCACTCCTCCTAGACCCAGTATTTTTTCCTTGGTTTTAAGATGCGGCTAGGGGTGCCAATGGACAGGGCCTACCCGTGGGCTTCCGGACAGGGCCACTTAACAGCCCTCCAGTGGGCCGGTATTATCAGGTCCCTAGCAGGCTCCTGGTCGGGCAAGGCCGTTTTTGACGTAAACGGTTATCGGGCCAGGCTTGATAAGCTCAGAATTTTCCATCAGGCCAGGTTGTCCCAAATATCATCAAATTGATCATCTCGACATCAAAATGTATGGATATGAGAAAAAAATGGATTTTAAGTTTTGAAAATAGTATATTTTGTAATGCATTTTTGGACTGTCGATTTTCAAGTTTTCATAGACATATCGATCTACATTATTTTTGAAGCTTTAAACTTTATAAATAAAGATGAAAATATATTTTAAGGCCATCACACAGTTTTTCAATATTGAAACTGCATGTCTCAAGACTATTTGAAAGTAGGCTATAATTTGATTGTTTAGAGCCTAGGCTCTATACAAACCGCACCCATATATATATAACTTT